ATTTTTTACCGATCTCTCTTCACTTGTCATATACGTTTTCTGTGCAGTTAGTGTTTTACCTTCATTGGGTAAAAAGGACTTTATGAGAAGTGGTTTTGGGTAATAAAGGAAAAAGTTTGGGAAGCAGTGGAGTATGAAAATGGCTGTCTTCTGAGTTGTAGCACCATGTAGTATGGCAGAAGTTTACAAACGTTTCAGAGGTTTTTGTTGCCTCCATCATCAGGGTGATTACTGCCCTGATGATGGAGGCAACAAGAACCCCTACAATGTTTGTAAAATTCTAGCAGATTACATGGTGCTACAATCCAGAACACAGCCATCTCAGCAACGAACATAACTGGAGAATATGTTTATTCAGCTGGACATTTTTTCATTATTTAATGCACAGCAACATCATGTGCATATGTCGCCCTCGGTGGACTAGTGGCTAGCGTGCTCGCCACTGGACCCCAGGTTCGCGGGTTCAAACCTGGCAAAGGTCGATGGAATTTTAAGGGTGATAAAAATCCATAGCACAACTTCCTTTGGAGGGGAAGTAAACCCGGAGGTCCCATGTCATAGATTTACAGAATGCAAAACAACCTTACGAGCATGATACAAGATGTTTTGTCAGCAAAACATCAGCAGCCATTTCTCACCCAAGTCTCCTGTTTCACTGCTAGATGGCTATGGCAGTCAAATCAGGATTGAGTATAAATTGTGCAGAGTTAGTGGGTCACTACTCTCACTAGCACTGGAACACCCAAATGGGCGTTGCCAAACATGGGAAAAGAAATGATCATGTGCATATGAACCAATTCTATCAGAATATCTCACCTGATCTGATACATTGCCAGCTGATGAGCGGCGACGCAAACCAGAACTTCGTCCAAGCTGTGATGATGATCCAGAGTTGCCTAGACCAGGTGCTGAATATGATAACCTGCTTCCTCCATGTTTCAGGATAGCCAGCTCCTTGCCGACTGGTGGATCAGCATCTGCTGTTAAAGTGTCTTCTTCATCCACCCGATGTAGACCTACTGAGTCTCCTTCAGGATCTAAACGGAACTTCTGTTCCTTTTCTTTGAACATTACAGGGTCTTCATATGTTGTTTTCCACAGACCAAGGGATTTCAACATATATCTGCAATAAACAGTTTATTACGATATAATCTTTCAATTTTAATAACACATTATAAGCTGAATGTGTCATATGGTTTTTGGAAAGATGCTTATAGATGATGAAATGGAAAGGCATAATTTCAGCATTTCTGTGTGGAGATATAAAACCTCAGAGTAACTTATGTCAAAACAGACATTCTCCCAGTAAGAAATTTAAACACAGACTTGTGGACAAGTCAGAAGCAATCTTCAAATGAACAGTAAAATGATGATAAGTAATAATGACTTGAGACATAGAAATTATTGTCTTAAACCATATTCATTTATAATCTGGGATATTTAAAGTAACATTCAGTTATGTGGACATATAAAACTATAATTTTTCCGATAGTTTTGTAAGGCTATCAAACTCAAATCTTTAATACTAACGGAAGAACAAAGGTTGAGGGTTTCTAAGAATCCAGAGACTATGTAGCTTCTGCGTGGTGTGACTGACAAAAGTTCAAAAAGTCTCCGTGGGGGCAACCAGGTCGTGATTAAAATCTGGACATCTTGAGCACAAAGGACAAGCATTATCCACTATATCATGACTACTAATAACATCTTTAAGATAGTATATAAATACTAAGGACGCTGAAATTTAAAAAAATAAGGAATTATTTTGTATTAATTAAAGTTGTTTTGACTAATGTAATTTGTAGCAATAAAATAAATTATTCATAAACTAGCTGATAAAACTGCCTGCCTGCTGTATATTATGTACAGCAGTTAGGGCTAATAAACCATCACTTCACTGTTACCTGTGAAAGAATATGATGAGAAGTAAGAACAAGTCATATGTGGCGTAGTTTGGTTTGCTCTCAATTCCAATGATTCTGGGAGGGAAGAATGGGTTCTTCTCAATTACTTCAGTCCCATTCCATGGCAGGAACTCAAATTGGAACATCCATTTCACAATAACAATGACCTGCACAGACCCAATTACCACTGATCATCTTGGTAACAGAAGCAGCTATATTCTATTGTTAATTACTTGCTGAGCAATTGAACTTATCTGGAAACAACTGTACAATTATGCCGTATACTTATCTGCAAGATACCTACACTGGATCAGAGCAATCATAATATTCAACATTAGAGAGCTGTATCAAATTTGAATGTGGCATGAATGGAGGAGACAAGAAGTGCATACCATATTTTGGTACTGAAACATCTCAGAATGCCACCATTTAGAAACCAGATGAGATGGGAAGTTAACCTTTAACGAAGGGAACATGCGATTTAAATCCCTGTACCACAGGGCTGCCAGCAAGACTAATTCTGGGGTTAGCAGTTAATGGTTTGCTAATGTGATGCACTGAGTATGGGAGGTAGCTGAATGTGACTAAATATTGTGTCCAATAGTGAAATCTGGCATTAGCATTATTGAACACCTGGATTATAGTAGCAAGGAGTTACATTCAATATTGCTGTTTTTCTCTTCTTCATCCATCATTAAATTTACCAAAAACAAGACCATTATATTTAGGGAGCCGGCTCTGCTCCCGTCTTCAGGTGAAAATACCTATTCCAGGGACTGAGATTAGCCCCTTATATCAGGCCTACCAGAATAGGTATTTTCATGTGAAGACAGGAGCAGAGCCAGCAGCTCCCAAAATGTAATGGTATTGTAAGACTTGAGGTTTTCACAGTGGTGAGTATGAAGATTTCTGTCTTCTGGGTTGTTGCGCTGTGTAGTCTGGTCGATGTTTACCAATGTTTCAGAGGTCATACTGCCTCCGTCATCAGGCGATGAATATGTCAATAGGGTGGGTGGGGCTAGGTTTATAGGAGCCCCACCCACCCTATTGGCATATTCATCGCCCTGATGACGGAGGCAGTATGACCTCTGAAACGTTGGTAAACATCGACCAGACTACACAGTGCAACAACCCAGAAGACAGAAATCTTCTGTAATGGTCTTGTTTTACAATATTAAAGATCGAAGATGTGCAGAAAAACAGCAACACTGAATGTAATACACCATCAAGTTATGAGATAGTTGTTTCATTTTTAACATATATGTGTTTAGTATTCAAGAAAAACTCTAGTCCTTTTTACATACTCGATTTTAATTAAGCCAATGCAATATATTTCTCTCCTACATTGTAACAAAAAAGAATATGCACATAAGCTAACATGCATGGACAATAAAGATCAATGGCTGTAATTTTTAATTACATACTTTTCAATTTAAACAGTCAACTCCATGGAGTAGTGTAGAGGACAGACTCCCATCTAGCCAATTCCATACCTTCTGTAGGACCCAACGGTGTGCCCACAAGAGCCCACCAGTTGACCCTACCCTGAGACACATTTATCCATGCCATATCCTACTTGTTTTAGACTCATTTTATTATTGTTATCCTTCTGCCAATGCCTACGTCTCTCAAGCGGTCTCTTCCCTTCAGGATTTCAGAATAAAATACTGTACAAATATCTCCCATCTATACGCCCTGCAAATCTCATCCTTTTTGATTTGATGAACCTAATATTTTCTGAATAATATGAATTATAAAGCTCCTCTTTATGTAGTTTTATCCAGCCTCCTGTAACATTGTACAAAAATGTTACAGATGTAATTAAAATGTATTTATACCTTCTTGTTCAATTTAGACCGAAATTAAACATGATTTGAATGTAGTAATAACTATACATTACTTCATAAAATTAAAGCTCCCATTAGAAGTCATATGAAACATCACATCATAACCATCTCTTCCCCTTTGGTTTACAATTTTCGCTGCACATACCTCAGTGTAAGCAATCATGGTCACCCAGAAGGTTTTAGTGGGTCTTGGAATTGTAAGTGTTCCCCACAAAAACACCATAAGTGGCAGTGGTAGAGACAAGATGGTTGCTGATTTTGTTTGATACAGGAACACCATGAAGTAACACACAAGGTCTGAGTGTGAGATGATGGCAAACCACAATGCCAGGACAAGTCGCACGAAAGGAGCCTGGTCCTTTGCGCTCAGCTCCTGTGTTTCGTCCATCTGTTCGAGACTCACTGGTGGCTGGTGGCTAAAAAATTTGTAAGGCATCGTATCATAAGTGTCCAAATCTTACAGTATACAAGCCAAGCATGTTTCAGCAACCAATAGAACTGCATTACTCTGTAACAGTCCCTGCCCAAGCACTGTCTGAGCCAATAAAACAGGTTCTGCTAGACCTGCCACAATCCAATCTGGACAAAGCCTGGAAGCTAGTTTTCCATTACCTGTAATTTATGTGTGTTTTAGAGATAGAACTAAAACATAAAACATTTAATTTCCCATACATTAGGTTTATCTTGGACACAGAAATCTGCCAGTGCCACAAGTGCTGTGATACATACTGGAAATCACCGTATACTGGTTATACGGTAGCACTAGACTTGACAATAAAAGACTTGGGAGATGACTCAGTCTCAATATGGATTAGCAATTCAAGGACAATCCAACTTAAGCATGAATCTGTAATATCATATCATTAATTCCAACATTTCAAAGGCAGTATAATCACTTTTAGAGCTTGATATGTTTGCAGTCCACACTGATACATTAATATAAAAACCTAGCATTCTGGAAACAACATTTTTCCAATCACAGATAATATTAACCTAAAAATTCAATAACACTACTTAAATGTTTGAATGTATAATGTAAGTCTATTATAACATATAAAGTAAGAGACAAGAATGTCTTGGTGTATGAGGTAAGATGCACAATATAAAAGCCTAACAAATTTATAATACTTTGTTGCATCTAATAAGGGAGAATGTGGTATAACTGTCTTCTTGTTGAACATACTGGAAAATAAGTCATGACAGAACAACAATAAAGAGTGAAGCAAGTTCCAGTATAAAATTCTAGGCAACATTGTTTATTTTTGTCTAATCGTTCATATTTTAAGCTCATTTATTACTGTGATTTCCCACTAAACAGTTAAATATAAATATTCATTATATGGAATTGTTATTCATCTTCATGGAAATTTTACAACATGACTGCAGAGAGTAGGATCAGTTTATAAAATATCTCCTTAGTATTATGAGAAGATAGGAAGAAAGCACCATCATTTGTAAACTGGTTAGTAATTGTAAATCATATTTAAAATACAGTATGAATTCTACAGTGCCATGGAACACAAATGACAAAGAAGGAAAATACTGCAAGGAGGTTAGTGTGTTATAAAGCATATAACAATAGATGATAATGGCAAATTCTGAAACCCACATCAGATTAAAATAACCATGTGATCTAATTTGGTGACCTAAAAGCAACATTTTAAGTTATCAACAGTTTCAACCCTTTTGATGCTCCTAAAATCATAGAAAATAAAATTTAAAAACCTGAATAAGCTAGACTGTTACCACCAAACACTATACAGATTAGTAAATGGTACAAGGAAAGTGTTAAGTGTAAGTAGATTTACTTACTCTAAATGCCAGAATGCTGTTTTTCTAACAACACTACTAATAAAATGCAAAAATTCCGATTCTGGAAGTTCTGAAATCAGGTGTCTAATGCTATATTATTCTGCCCAAGTCTTAGAGCAACTAGTTGTTCCACAATATGCCAAGATTTCTGTGCTATCAAACTGATGAAGTAATGAAGTACTATATTTATATGAAAAATTATGCTCCCAAATCCAATAGCATTAGCAGTTAGTAATGAGTCCAGGTGGTTTTGCAACCAAGGACAGCAGTTGTCATGTAATGCATAGTTCAATGACTGCACACCCAGAGGCAGTAACAGTGAATAGGAAGCATTACTGGAATGATAACTGGTAAGGGAAAACTTAAATGGCTTGAGAAAAACTTGACCCAATGCCACTTTGTTCATCACAAGTCCCACACAGACTACTGCAGAACTGAACAAAGGAATCTGGAGCGAGAAACCAATTAGTTCTAACTTATGAGCTATGGCACGGCCACAATACATGGTACATGAAGTGTTATAAAGTCAAATAAATGTACTTATGCACAAATCACAGTTCACGGGTCAATTTAATTTAAATGTGCATTATTAATATAAACCTTGTATTTACAGTGTTAAAAAAGTTGTGCATTTATTGCTATGCAAGATTATGATATTTCAAGTAGTTAGAGGTCAATCACATATAATTAAAAAACTGCTGTAGCAACTTGAATTCTTAAATTGTAACTTCAGTCCTTGGAGACAGAAATTTTTGGTCCTTTATTTCACGATGCTTTGCTGGACTTAAAATGCCATTTCAAGTTTGTAAACTAATTATTTGTACATTAAAAGAAGTTGTATCTGAAATAAAATAAAGCACTTACCAGTGTAATGGCCCATCACTGACGTAAAATATTTAAGATATGGAATTGAAAACAAAGCATGTCAGGTCATTATGTGAAGTATGAGAGATATTATTCTTCATGTCAGGGCACTCTACAGTCTAACTTTCTAGTGAAGGAGGCTGAATACATATTTGTGATCAGTGCTACAATGTCCAAATTAATCAGGATTGCAGATTTTCACAGTGGTTGCACTCTCAGATCTGACACTGAATTTGATGATCCTATATTACTCATCACTCTACTGGTCTTTTCAACCAACATACCAAGTTCCATGGTGCTGTTTCTAACTTTGAATGTTGACAGTCTCTCAGCTTTGAAACCCAAACGTTCATTAGTATGTCCACGAAACTCTGCCAATAGACCTCATCCAAAACTAACTGAATATTATCCACTAACACACACCGATCTCCAAAAGTGGTCTTGTCATTTGTCAGCTAACATTTTATATGCATTTCTCATCTCTCCCCCTTTGAGGATCTTTTTATTATGATTTATATTCCTTGTTTCAGACCTGGTACACAAAAACAAAGAATATGAGATGAATGAATAATGCCAGAGAACTAGCAGTGACAAAGTTGTTGCTGAACACACTGGAACATGTGAAATACTTCCTGTCCACAAGGACATCCATCATCAGGGCAATCATCACCCTGATGATGGAGGCAGCGAGCACCTTTGAAACATCAGCAACCTCCACCAGACTATGCAGTGTAACAACCCAGAAGACAGTCATCTCCAAACTCACCACTGTGTGAACCCGAAATCTTCCCACTTTTGTTTCACAACCTCCACGGTTACGTCAAAACATCCTATCATTGTAAAAGCTTATGTACTTGGGTCTGGTATTTGCAAACTCTCTGCAAATAGCAGAAGCTAAAAATATTGTTACATGACTATGGAGCCTTTACACCAGTATGTATACTTGTTCACATGGCAACCAACATCAACACTTATGACAGATAACCCAAACTTATTATACTCAACATGCTGTCTCTGTAAGCAGGAATTGAAATATTATGAAACATTTGTAAGTTAAACACAATAATAACAGAGATGCCTCCTTACCAAGCCCTTTGAAGAAGAAGAAGCACTTGCCTGTACAGATGGTACTAGAGCCAGTGATAAGAACAAACATGCAACAATGTGCATGGAACATGCACGTGCACATGCAGTGAATCACAATGCAAGTCACTAAAACACAAAGACGTATCATGTTATGTAATGTACATTGTCCTAACTGCACAATGACAGCTACCATTGTCCAAATGAATACAATTTTATTTAAATATATTAACTTGCTCATTATATTTTAACCTTTCTAAATCTCTCATATCAATGTCTATCAAAAACTGTATGCCAATAACAAAGTATATGGCTCACAATCTTTCAAGAAAAGTTTTACAGTTATTCAGCAATAAAAATTCCATGCTTTTATGGAACCTGAAGTTCATCACACTGTGCACAAAAGTATGTCACTTTCCATGTGTATGAACATCAATTAGTTAAATATTAATATGCAACTGAAAGACTATGATTACATAGTCAAATTTTTCACTGTTACACATCAACACACACACATATACATATAGAACCCCCATATTATAAATTAATTTTATAAATCTCACAAACCCATAATGCATAACTGTGTGGATCAAGATATTATTTATTTCTTATCATATCAAAACAAGGTCTAGGAATCTCACACTGCACAATTCTACATGTCTCTGCCTGTGTTACAAATCTTTATGTTAATTTAATCCAAAGGAACACAAGGATATATGAAGGGAAAAAATCCTTACATTTTGTATTGTTTAGAAAACCACCAACTCCCAAAATTAAATTATTCCAGATTATTTGCTCTGGGTCTGAAAGGAATTCTTTAATATACCCAAGAACATAATTCAACCCCACTTTATGAAGATGACTGAAAAAGGATGATGTAATAACTGAGCTGGAAAGTCAGGCTTGTTACACATCTCAGGGTTGGTGATTGACGAGTCCTGAGCATTTTTAGAATTATAGTTTACTGACATGGGAAAACTGAAGTACTTGGAGAAATGCCTGCCCAATGCCATTTCTTTCACCACAAATCCCACATAAACTGTTCAGGAAATTAACACAAACTTCCAGTCAGAAGCCAGCAATGTGCCTCAGTTATGGTATAATCCTTGTTTAGCAGTATATTATATAGGTCTTTAAATATTGTGAATTATATATTAACACTAATGGGTGTGTGTGTGTGTGTAACAGACAAACTGAATAAACAATGCCAAGTACAGGTTAGTACCAATGTTCTATAAACCAATTTATTCTTGACCATTTGAGAATACTATGACAGAGGTATAGTTTCTATGATGTTTCATTTTGGATTGATATTCATTTGCTAAACTCTAATCCATGATTAAACCCTATCATATGAGAATATGGGATTTAAACCCTTGTATTATGAGGCTAACGATGAGCTGGGCAGCTCAGTCAATACAATGACTGGCAATGGGCTGGGTGATCAGGATTCAATCCCCTACAGAGGAAGAGGATTTTCTTCTAGCCTCTGAGTTAGCTAGCAGGGTCCTTTCCCAGGGATAAAGCATGGCCAGGGCATGTTCCTTACCACTTATCCCCTTCTAGTGCCAAGGCTGAGAATGAGTAGGAGCTATATCTACTCTCCTGTAAGTGCAAACATTGACATGTAATGGGATGGCTTCTTCAGTATGAGGATAGATGCCTTAATGCCAAGGTGAATGGTTTAGGAGTATGCTAGTGTGATGCACTGCATACTGGACTGTGCACAAAGCTGTGACACATACTTAACATGGTTAAAACAGTGTTTTGTTGCATAACTGCTAGCAGCATACCTCACTTAAACCTGTGAACTGTGAATGACTTTATACTTCATAAAGTTCTCATGGTGACAGAACAATGACAGTCTTATTGGGTGATTAGCATATCTAGTATCAATATGGAATAAAAGTCTAACATTTTTAAGATGGTCTCTGATTAAGAAGACAAAATAGCCTCTTCAAAACAATGAAATTTTATTTCATATTGACTTAGTGACTGCCCAAAAAGACTTCAGTTCAGTCTTTGATAACGTAACTGGTTAAGAGAATAATATTCAAAGGTCTATAACAATAACATAATAGAGTAACTCAACTGACTCTTACACTTCACATTTTTACATACAGGTCCAAATGAAAGCAAACAGTTTAAGCAGAATTCATATATCCAAATTATCCTTGAATATTTCCTGAATAATGCTATCTCTGTACACATTTTATAAAAGCAAACATTTCTATAATTTTATATGAACATATTTAGTATGTAAGTCACTAATATATTAATCTAATCAAAACTTCCTCTGTATAAGTATTACATTAATATGTGCATACAAAAGCAATGTTAGTACATAACACCTTCCAATGTAGTAAAAATCTTGCTTTGAAGGCCTTGTGGAACTGAAACATTAAACAACGGTAACATCAATCATGCACAAACAAACAAGGAAGATCATTTAACGGTCCCATTCATAACAAGAACACAATGGAAGTTCTAACATTATAATTTTTTCTTGTTAACAGAAACTATACAGGTTACTTAACCAACACTCAAATATGCCATTCTGCTGGAGATGGACAACACTGAAACCAAAGACAAGTTAAAGAAACTAACAAATAATGTCAAGAAGAGGCAGCACATACCAGCATAGTAATGCACAGAAATGCCACTCAAGCCAAAGAAACCAATGTCTTCAGTTAAATCAGCACTATCCAAACTTTTCCTCTCCAAAAGCTCCTTCCTCTAACAATTAATATATTTGAACCTCTGTCCAAATTACAATTTCTTTCAGAGAATTTCTCACTTCTTTCTTCACTCCATGACATTCACATGACCTGATTCCCAGACAGTTAAACAATTTTACAGAATCCAATAATAATTAACTTCTAAAGAAAAAGAAAGGCGGAGAGAAATATTTACTGATGCTTTCTCCATTTTGTGGGTTATGCAGCATCAATGAAAGACTGATTGTGAATGGTGATTTATAAACAATGTAGAAGGAAGTAAGCATGGCTTATTTGAAGGTATTAGCCCAAGATTTTTCCTGAGGGACCGAGATAAATCACAAAAACATCAAAGTGAATATATCAAGTCTGTACGCCAAGATTAGCAGATGAGACCTGCTAAATACTAAGCACGAGTGTTAACCACTCAAATGTGATGTTCATAGTGTGTAATTATTCATATTCACTATACAAGCAGAAAACACTGTAACAGAATTCATAAATAAAGCAGCAGTCCCCATATCTTAGAATAAATATCATGTTTACACCAAATCTAATTTTAATCAAGAGTTCTATCTAAAATTTAAAAAATAAAAAGCACTTATTTGTGAATTTGTCTTAAAGTAATACCAATAAACAAGAAATTAACTTCTCACATTCTGCAGTGAACATCATGAAATATCTCACATAACCCTAGGGGTTCAATCGACTTCTGCATTCTCCAGCAGATTAAGATTCTTTCCATGATCCTGTGCTCATGAAGTGTGCCATGTAGTTAAGAAATCAGTTTCTCAACATTGAGTTTCATTTCTTTAAGCATTATGCTGGCATGCACAACATTGACCATGCATCCACAGACAAGGAACATGACAGGTTACCTGTCAGCATCAGACAAATCAAGGCCACGCTCCATACTAGGGGCCAGAACACGGATCTCAGGTATAGTCAGCATTTCCATCGCCCATACACGGGGTCTGCGGGGGAGACAGAGCCAAGCTACACACAAACACTACCCACACCATATCCCAGTACCACATGCACTTGTCCTTCTCATGCACCAGGGTAGAAACACTGTCATATTGGGCCACTTTCTAAATGTATAAGCATTTATGTATACATTCTGCCTGATTTAAGCCAAATTCAGTAGGCAAGTAGTATTAAGATGATGACTGTCTTCTGGGTTGTAGCACCATGTAGTCTGGTAGAAATTTACCAACATTTCAGAGGTCCCTGCTGCCTCCATCATCAGGGTGATGAGTAAGCCATGTGTGCAGAATAGGTTTGACATATAGGAACCAGTCAGTCAAGGCAGAATAACCTTGGCTGGACCAGTGGGGAGCAAGGTCAGGATCAGGTAGGGGCCTGGGAGCCAACAGGAGTGGGGGAGGGGGAGATGCCACAGCCTGGTCAACAGGAGGGGGAAGGACATGCAAGAGAGAGAGGTAATTTCTACCGGACAACGCACTTTCAACCCAGAAGACAGTTATCTTTGTACTCACTGCCATGATAACCTTAAATCTTACTAAGCAGTATTTATTTCTGGGTGATGATACCGTGTTGTGGTTGGCTGGCCTGCTGACATTTCAGAGAAATGTGTTGTCTCTATCAACAGTAAGAAGTCTCTTCAACACATGGGCAAACCAACACATCACAACATGGAAACATGAGTCTCAACAAACTACCATGAAATATATATCTTGCATTAAAACCATGAAGTTGAGCTTTTGAGAATGGAAGCCTATCTTATTTCATAGGACACCCATGGTGTTAAATGCAAAATTAATGTGACCCAAAAAAACATTATACAAAAATTATTTCAACACTTTCAAGAATAATAAAAACTTTAAATTGCTTTTTATAACGTTCATGTTGTTTGGCACAGCTGTAACATGTTCATGATTTATTAAATCAATTACAACAAAATTTGGAAAGACTGGAAAATTACTGTAGGGGAATAAATATGGACACAGATCTAAGATGTCACCAGTCAACATTCAGGATCACAGTCGAAGTTCACAAAGTTATGAAAATATTTAAACCTTTTAAGGCATTTTCTGGACTTGGATGTGACCTACTGGAAGTCATGTCCTGTTCAGTGTTGAACTGAAACTGACAATTCAAATTTAAACAACATAAACTGAAAATGGTTCTAGTTATGTATCATATGCTGAAATAAATGAACCTCCAAGGGATTTCTGTATCAAATTCAATGTGAAATTCAAAAATATCTTATTCCAGTGCTAAGTTGGATTGAGTGTGACAATACAGCTGTCTAAATAAATTTGACCTAGATGGGTGATATGTTAGCAAAGATCAGGCAGGTACTACAATGAATGTAAATCAACTGATCAACAGTTTCCAAATCCTGATTAGTTACTTGCAGTCTTAACATAATACTGATACTTAAGCCTTCATAATGAAAGCAGACTAGCAGCTATATTTGATGGGAAGGGGGAAAAAATCTTCTAAAGCAGTAAAACACATAATAGCCAAAATAAAAAATCCATTAATTCAGAGTGGAGCTAAAGTTTAGCTTTGTTAAACTTCTTGTTTTAGTCAAAGTATACCTTGAACTGAAGATATAAAGTTTAGATTATGCAAAGTATACAGTACTGATAAAACAAAACTGTAACTGAAAACAACAGCTAATTTTGAGCCTCACCTGAGATATATAATGAGATTATATTTTCAGTTATATACTGAGAAAACCTAAAGATTCAATGCCATCATTTGAGTTCAAGTGCAAACAGCACTGGACATTAATATGAAAAAGAGTGGTCATTTCCATTTGTTTTGAATTATAAATCACATATTTCTGATACCTTACCACTGCTCACCATGTATGAAACTCTGGTAATGCAAAGTTGTTTTAACTAATCCCACAACCATTCAGTCATTCATATACATGCTTTTATATCTGAAAGTCACCATACGTGAGCTTATTTATTGCCTTAACTTCCAAATGGGATACCATCATATGTAGGGAGTAAAAACACACATATCAAAATATTAAAACTAGACTTAAGACATTTTTCCATATATATGTGAGATAACTCTATCCTAGAAATAGTTTCATTCTAAATAAAATATAAAAGGTAGTCCTAACTTCTAAATTCCAGTGCAATGGCTCTGATGCAACAAATGAAGTAATTGGCAGTGAGGATTTTGATGGTAGCTGTCAGGGTTGTGATGCCACATCATCTTGCAAGTGTTTACCAACATTTTGGAGGAATGTTGGTAACTACCTGCAAGACAGCACTCTGTCATAACCTGGAAGACCACCATCATTAATAAAGAAACATTTTACCAGCCCTAGATGATACTTTGTTTACTATGAAATTACTCCTAAAGCCCCTTCAGACTCATGATTTAGTGATTATTTATACCGCAAAAATGCACAGCAGGCTGCACAAAATAAATACTTTTAAGTCATCTCCAGATTCAGAAAACCACCACTTCCCAATAATTTAAAGTTGGACTACTTCAGTCTGAAAGGGTTAGGATCTTATGAACTCTTAATACAAATGTTTTAGTAACATATATATATATATATATACACATATGATGGCATTTTAACGACACAAAATCTGTGAAGAAGGGATCTCACCTGCCCAAGAGCTTCACTTCATCTGGTGTGCTTTCATCTAACTGGTCCAGTGACGTGCTGGCCCTGGCTGGGAGGGGAACAGGATCTAGCCTAAACCAAGCAACCCAGTACAGTGCAGCAACACAAGTGTAAAAACCAAAACACATGTGGGTTAGGGAGCCAAAGTGAAACATAATAAGGACACTGGATAAAGTGATCTGTATTACATAATAGTTTGATATAAATTTCCAGCAAATTTATTGTGCAGTGCTTCAGAGTTTACATTCAGGGCACCAAATGGATTAAATTGGATGTTTTAGCATTTAGTTTTTCTGATGAGTTGGCCTATTACACCAATACCTAACATGAAGGACCAGGACAAGAAAAGACATAAATTACATTAATTAACTGAGACATACATACACACATAAAATAAGACCCTAAGAATACCTTACAGCAAGGAAAGTAATTTTCAAATTCAGGTGTCTGAAATCGCCTCTGTGTGTGTGTGTGTGTGTGTGTGTCTGTGCACGTGCGTTTTATATATAAGAAACGTCTATGTGGTTTTTTGTAAGAGAAAAACACAAAAGACAAAGAGAACATAATCAGTGCTCAAACTATGAAATCATAACCACATAATTTTAACACTAAAAACTAAATAGAGTGCTCCTTTAGAAGTGTACTGTAAAATTATGAATAAATGAATAGTAAAGTTAGAAGGAAACTATACATTTTGGTCAAAGTGCACAATCAATATCCTCCAGTTTAGAGAATGGACTTAAATCATAGCTGACAAACTACTTATATGAAGTAAATAAAGATATATTAAACATTTGTTTGTAGAACTCATTCAAAACAAGTGCTAAGAGGCATGAAACCCAACCTCATGCATCTGACTCTCAGCATTACTCAGTAAATATAATAACTGGAATTCAAAAGGGTTTAACATTATACTGATGATTTGATTTTTAAAGAAAAAATAAATGACTTTTCATTTGTGTACTCAAGTTACTTTGAGAGAAGACAGACAGACATACATACATAATGTTAAGAGCAGAACAAGAATGTTCCTAAACAATATATGACATTTCGATCAGATGTATAAAAAAAGTTTATCTTAAAAGGCAGTTAAAGATTATGTCAAGAAGGTAATCTGATTTAGATAAAATTACATTTTTAAATTTCTTACTGTTCCCGATTTTAGACGAATTAATAAGATAAAAACTGTGCTTCTGATGATGTTTTCAGGTGGCTAGCATTGAATAAGTGCTTCCACTTAACAGAAATTTCTAATTCTGATGGACACAAGCAGAGAAAACTGTCTTTTCTTGCTTGTTCCAAGATTACACTTTGAAGAAACAGTGAAAATTGATTTGTTACATAATACAGAATTCAAAATTACAAACTGGTATGAACTAGTTAGGGAGTGGAGGAGTTTATTGTTTGAACTGACTCCAGTCTAATAACAATTACTGCAGTGTGACGACGATTAGATTTAAGGCAATGGAATTAATACAGGGTGACTAACATGAGCTCCACAATTCATATATAAGTATAAATACACACAAACACAAATAAAGGCATAGAACCAAACTTGCAGCAACTTAAGGACTGAAGAAAAAGTAAAAAACATATAGACACAAACAAATAAATACATACAGAATGCCATATATACAAACTTGTAGAATACAGAGACAATAAAACATATATGGAGACAAAACAAAGACACACAGATTAAGAAACACAAACTTATCAGAATAAAGACAATAAACATCTATGCAGAGAGAGATATAGACAGACAGACAAACAGGGAAAAAAGGATATAACACACATTGGTAGGGATTATGAAGATAGTGTTAATGACAGCCCAATGATGGAGGCAGGAAGCACCTCTGAAATATGGGACTGTAGGCTGACAGCCCAATGACTACACACACACACACACACACACACACAGAAATGTATGAACTGCTTGCCAGAGTGTTGCTTATATTTCTGTGTATCATTTTGCCTCATTGTACCTTGCTGCTATTATGAATTACCCTAGGATACTTAAGCAAATGTACCAGTACTTTATTTTATGACTTGTTTTTCACACTAATTCAAATACTACAAAATGTTTGGGCTTTGTAAAATGCATTTTGGAAACTGAAAGTGTAGCATGTTTTAAAATTTTCTATGAATATTACTTGAACTGAAATGTGATGATACACATCACATTTATGTGTGAATATAAATTAACTTGTAATTAATATTTTGACCAAAAATAACTATCATTTATATAAATATTTTATTAATTTTTTTTAATAAATCTCAGTTCATAAGAAATCTCCCAGACCAAACTTGTAGCCTCTGATGTGATGTGATACAATATTTTATGTCATGTGCATTTCTAACACAAAACATACTGCTTATCAGACACCAACCATCAAATAATAATATAAATTTTATGACCATATCTATATGAAGTGCAGGATTTTTTGTAAGATGTGCACATAGACAATACTGTTTTCTCCACATTTTTATAGCTGATCAAACATTCAATGTGTACAGAAGAATATATAAACAACTGACTCTGGTAAATACCACATTTGTAATAAAATATTTTGTTATTTTTCATCTATGGTTCAAAGAAATGTCTTGAGTTATAGTATTTACATCTGAATATAGCATCTGAAGTAGTATGAAAAATTGCTGGTCATGTATCACACTATCATAATAAGTCAATGGAGAAAGGTGTTCATTAATACAAATGCAAATAAAAAAATAATAAAAAAGAGAGAGGACACTATGGGGGATATCACAGTCAACAGATGACAGTTCTATAAAAAATATAAATCATAAAATTGTAAAGTTGTATAGTTATATGTATTAAAATTTTGTGCAAAAATTATGAACCTAAGTAGTACTGGTTTTATTTAGAGTAAGAGAAAAAAATTAAACACTGGTAACATCTTGATTTGGTAAATATATGATTCAGAATAAGGATTTAACGACACTTGACAAATTATATTTTATCTGGTGAATAAATATTTAAATAGTGACTGCATGACTTTTGGATCTATGTTATTACATTAATTTTCTACAGAACTCTGAAAAAAAAAAAGTGAGATCTGAGATTCTCAGCATGGTGAAAATGTTTATGACTTGTCTTCTGGGTTGAAACACAGATATGTTCCTCCAAAACACTGGCATCCGCTTACAAATTCACATCATGTATAACCCAGATGACCAGCACTGAGAAAATGATCTCTCATTAAATGAACTCACTGAATAATTAATATGCCTAATACATTGTAGTGCAATGTATTTTATTATAAATGTGCCACAGTGACAACTGTGTATACCTATTCAAAGCATATGACTAATTCCATGTCACAAAGAATACTAATAAACATACTCTGTATAGACAAATGCCTTTCAGTTTTATTACACATACATCAATTTGATACTACGTCTGCAATATTTATATGAACATGCTAAAGCTTGCCAGCTCCATCAGGCATGAAGAGTTGTTGCGCAGTGTAATCTGGTAGAAGATTACCGATGTTTCAGAGGTCCTTGCTGCCTCCATCATCACGGCGATGATTGCCCTGATGATGGAGGCAGCAAGGACTTCTGAAATGTTGGTAAACTTCTACCAGATTATACTGCGCAACAACCCAGAAGACAGCAATCTTCAGACTCACCGCTGTGAAAACCTCAAATCCTACATATCTATCAGGCATCCTTATGGCAGGTGCAGTATAGCCAACACTACAGCCTTACACACAAAAGAAAGCAAAAGAAAAACCCTTGGGAATGATGCTGAAAGTTTCATTCTTAGGGAACATCTGTCTGCATATAAGCAATAAGCCATTGCAGATATTGTTGAGGAAATTAAAGCAAAGGCCAATATAGACACTATATCTTTTGATTATTATATTTATAACTGTGACCCTGAATAGATGTAACTTTTTGAAGGATTCCAACTGATCCACCAGGTGGATCCTTTCCAAGTGTTCAACAGCCAGTGGAAATGGTGGCAGAAATATAGGGACTTTGTGGATGATTTGATAGTGCACATGTAATGAATATTGTTATTATACTTCCTCAAAATCATTTACCTTTGTGCACATACAAGATATAACATGTGTATCTTATAGATCCATACAAGTTTTTGAGACATTATTTTCTCATGTAAGAATGAAATGAGACACACCAAAAAATGTATTGAGGAGCATGGCTCTTAAAAAAAGAAATGAAAATTAAATTTCCACACAGGGTTCAATAAAATTCTGACAAAGGACACAAACTATGAACACAAGCCCTTAGGCAAAGCAGCCCCTAAGCTGAAAAAAACTAAACCAAAATGAAAATGGTTTGGCAAAATTTAGTATAGGTCTACCATACCAAGTTACATCCAAACTGAGAGCCCTCAGAGCTATATAAACAATGTACTGAAGGGGAGACTCTAAACAATGCAATAACTTATGATGTGAAGCTTTCATGGCAGATGTCATTAATAAAATCTTCTTGGGCCAGCAGCTGTGTCACTTGGTTAAACTCTGCCAATGTTTTGAGAGAAATCTCTGTCCTTATTTTCAAGGTTAGTCATTTGACATGGCTGCTGGCCTGAGAAGATTTTATTAATGCAATGGCTTGATGAATTTCTTTTTTTGTATGCAACGTTTATACACAAGGGTCATGAAAACAGTCGCAGAAAAGATGATAACATTACAATTATCATGCTGTTATGGTGACAACCACTCATAGTAAATGTTACTGTATTATCATCACTAGGAATCTCACAAAACATGGATCAATGGGCTACACAGATGTGGGGGTATCAATTATACATGTACAATCAACAGACAGTGATGTCTACATGCAACCCACCTGGCACTTTGACTAGAGGAGGCTTCGGTGTGCAGCTCTGTACCATCCTCGGCTATGCCAGCTTGATCGTCAGCACCCCCCAGCCTTGGAAATGCAAACACAAACACATGGGGGCTACAAGGCAACTACCAAATCTACTAGCTCAGTGCTTCAGACAATAGTCACTTAAAAATTCATATGCTTCATGGTACATCATGTCATTACATGAATCCTAAGCCTACATTTAAACAAAA